TCTTACGTCCCGCACGACGGCGGAGAGGGGGGGGGGGGGGGGGGGGGGGGATCTTCTCCACTCCCGGTAATGTTGGGGGAAGATGAGGAGGAAATGGCTGAAAAATGTTACAGCTAACCTTGTAAGTGTTTCAGGCACTGCCATTAAGGTCATCGGAAAAGCCTGGCTGAACGTCAACTTGGGGAATAAGGTAATTTGCCACCTCGCACTTATAGTTGATTTGCCCTATGATCGCTTAATTATTGGCATAGATCTCCTTAAGAGATTAAATCCTATTGTTGATTTTATCAATAAGGTTATCTGGTCCCAAGTGAGAATGCCCATTAACGATGAGCATTCCCAATCCTATCACAGTCAGCGTAACTGCCACGTGATAGAGGAACGGCCGGACTCTATTGAGATCCATTTCAGGAATAGCCAAGTTCCAGATGTCTCCTTCTTACAGGCAACACCGACCTCCACCATAGGTGGGCAGGAGGATAACACCATATGTGTGTCCCTTAAAAGAGTTAGAGATGTTTGCTTGGAAGGTGATGTTCTCACCATTCACCTCCATCCAGAAAATACTGACTCTACTGGGTTCAGTGATCATGCGCAATTCCTAGCAAGGATTGGAAAGGTGATGATGTGTTCTTTCCCCTACAGGTTAATGACCTGGGAAGAATTAAGAGGGCTAAACTGGATTTACGCCAGGAGAACAGTTACATTAGTAGGGACCTACTAAAACAAATGGCCAATCCTAAGGCAATTAGGTATCCAAACCCTCAGGATAACTGGGTCCATGAATTGGATGATGACTCAAACAGTCATAATATAATTGCTAAATGCATGTTATCCATTTGTATTGGGGGTAAATCAGCCACTCATTTATTCCTGGTACTCAATGAGCCACAGGGGTTGATTTACTAACCTTATAAACACACCATGAACATGTATACACCTCTGTAGTGTGTTCCCTCCCAGCATGATCTATGGGTGGAATCTAAACACCTTTGTAGTGTGTACACACCCAGCAGGTGTGTTGTGCAAAGCCAAGCATGAACTGCAAGGTGATGTTGTGTAAATTAGCTCTATGTTGTGTTGCTTGCGTTGATGAATGCGGGAATGTAAATGCATGAGCTAACCATTTTTGTCTAAACTGTGAAGCAGCATTATATATGCATCATGTGCATGATTTTTCCATATATGGCATTAGTGGAAATATGCTTTTAGAGACTTTTTGGTTGATAAATACATTTTGCTGTGTGAAAATCACACGCACCTAGTGCGTGCGTGTGTTTAGGTTAGTAAATCACCCCCACAGTGTCATATTTACATTGGCAACGATATATTACATCGCTTTGCTATACATGTGGATTTGGTGAATTCCATATTGTGGACTAGATTAAAAGGTAATCCATGTAGTTTCATAGGCGAACATGAAGCCCTCAAATCATCACAGATACTGCCATATGCAGTAAGTGTATTAGTACCACAAAATGTTATCATAGTACTAATAATTTCCTGTTACCCATACAGGTATCAAAAAGGCCAAAAATTAAGGAATCCTGATGCATTAATATGCCTCTCAGACAGGATGCAACAATTAGGGATTTCAGTAAATCCTACACCCATGGTTAACATACACCCATTCAAAACCCAAATCATTGTTAATAACAGTACACCAAATGAAGTCCAATTGTCTAAAGACACCGTTATTGGTTTGGCATTAGACTCAGATTATTATACTTTTGGGTTTCAACAGACATTTTATTCTTCTCCTGAAGGATTGTTCACCATTAACTCAGTTTATCCTTTTAGTCCTGAAGAAGGTACCTGCAAGGTAGATGAATCCTCCCTCACCTTTGATCATACACTTAATGAGCAGGAAGCCGAGGAATATCGTGAGTGTACCGAAAAGGCTAGTAAGTCAAATCATGACCTCACTGACAGGCTTGAGGAAGCCAATGAATTAGGTCAACCTGAAATTTTTCCAGGATTTCTAGAAATGGTCCAGCAGCAAA